AATATCTGATGTAAACTTTTTGTTTAGTAAATATCTGATGTAAACAGCTGTTTGTTTAGTAAATATCTGATGTAAACTTTTTGTTTAGTAAATATCTGATGTAAACAGCTGTTTGTTTAGTAAATATCTGATGTAAACTTTTTGTTTAGTAAATATCTGATGTAAACAGCTGTTTGTTTAGTAAATATCTGATGTAAACTTTTTGTTTAGTAAATATCTGATGTAAACAGCTGTTTGTTTAGTAAATATCTGATGTAAACTTTTTGTTTAGTAAATATCTGATGTAAACAGCTGTTTGTTTAGTAAATATCTGATGTAAACTTTTTGTTTAGTAAATATCTGATGTAAACAACTGTTTGTTTAGTAAATATCAGATGTAAACAACTGTTTGTTTAGTAAACATCTGATGTAAACAACTGTTTGTTTAGTAAATATCTAATGTAAACAACTGTTTAGTAAATATCTGATGTAAACAACTGTTTGTTTAGTAAATATCTAATGTAAACAGCTGTTTGTTTAGTAAATATCTAATGTAAACAGCTGTTTGTTTAGTAAATATCTGATGTAAACAACTGTTTGTTTAGTAAATATCTAATGTAAACAACTGTTTGTTTAGTAAATATCTGATGTAAACAACTGTTTGTTTAGTAAATATCTAATGTAAACAACTGTTTGTTTAGTAAACATCTAATGTAAACAACTGTTTGTTTAGTAAATATCTGATGTAAACAGCTGTTTTTGTTTTGTTGCAGGACGACGGTGATGATGACTGAACTCTTCATCTCTGATCCTTGGAGCAGATGTTTGTTCGGGGGAGGGGAGGTGTACAGTTTTGTTTTCTAATATTTCTCCTGTGTGTTGTTTGTGCAGAAGTCTTCAGCAGCTCTGTGATTGGCCAGCAGCTCACCTGTCGTTTGTAGCATTCTGCACGTCTTTCTGTAGATCTGATAGCAGTTTGTTTGTACATGAAATGACTTTCTGTTGTGAGGTTAATAAAGCCATGGTGCAGTGATAATTAGACACTTTTATAAATATATCAACTGTATGATATTATTATTAATAACAAACACCAGCTGTTAGTGCAGAGCAGACCAAACTTCATCTTTTTTAAATAAAGATTTACAGACAGGAAGTTGTCCTCTTCTCCTGGAAAATGTTTTTATTTCTGTAAAGTCTGACTGTAAAAGTTGGTTCTGGTCAACCCGACTCCCCTGCTGGTCCAGAACTTTGGGTCCAGTTTGTTGTGGTAAAAACAGTTTGTAGATAATCCAACTTTCTGAACCCTTTAGGTCTTCTGTTAGAACCTGTTGTTCAAATGTCTCACTTTGATTTTATAATAAACCAAATGTACTGAAGACCCTGAGTCTGCCCTCTTCTCTCTGCTGGCTTTAATCGGGTCCAGTTAGAACCTGGTCCAGAACGACCCAGTTCTGTTTCCAGACTTCAGCTGCTGGAAGAACGAGGACCTCAGAAACAGTTTCACTGATTTTATTTAAAAAAAGAGTTTAAACATTATTCCAGAACTTTTAAAATTCTTTACAAAAAGTTTTAATTTAACATCATTGTAACATTGAACAGTCCAAACGGTTCTGTTTAACATGAAGCTGACCCAACAGAATCTCCACCTGGTGGTCCCAGCAGAGCCAAGCCCCTGAACACCTCTGCTCTCCAGACTCATGGTTCTGCAGGAAGTTAAAAACCCACCGGGGCTCGGGTCAGACCCGGACCCTGAGCCGACACGTCCGCTCCCACATGCTGCAGTCCGGTTGGAGCGATCCGGTTCTGCCGGCCGGGGTGGGCCGGGCCACACAGGAGAAGGGTCTGGAGTTGATGCTGACGTGGGGCATCGCCTTCCTCAGAGACACCAGCTGGTTCTCCTGGACCAGACCGAAGACGTCCAAGAACCGAAGGGACGGGAGGGTCCTGCCCAGGTCGCTGCAGACAGCAGGTAACCAGGTTAGCTAGTTCCACTATGTTAACTAGTTCCACTATCAATGTTAACTAGTTCTATTATTAATATTAACTAGTTCCACTATCAATGTTAACTAGTTCCACTATCAATGTTAACTAGTTCTATTATTAATATTAACTAGTTCCACTATCAATGTTAACTAGTTCCACTATTAATGTTAACTAGTTCTATTATTAATGTTAACTAGTTCCACTATCAATGTTAACTAGTTCTATTATTAATGTTAACTAGTTATATTATTAATGTTAACTAGTTACACTATCAATGTTAACTAGTTATATTATTAATGTTAACTAGTTATATTATTAATGTTAACTAGTTCCACTATCAATGTTAACTAGTTCCACTATCAATGTTAACTAGTTCTATTATTAATATTAACTAGTTCCACTATCAATGTTAACTAGTTCCACTATGTTAAGTTGTTCCACTATCAATGTTAACTAGTTCCACTATGTTAAGTTGTTCCACTATCAATGTTAACTAATTCCATTATTAATGTTAACTAGTTCCACTATCAATGTTAACTAGTTCCACTATGTTAAGTTGTTCCACTATCAATGTTAACTAATTCCATTATTAATGTTAACTAGTTCCACTATCAATGTTAACTAGTTCCACTATTAATGTTAACTAGTTACACTATCAATGTTAACTAGTTCCACTATGTTAAGTTGTTCCACTATCAATGTTAACTAGTTCCACTATCAATGTTAACTAGTTCTATTATTAATGTTAACTAGTTA